AAAACTCATTTTCATAGCCAAACGTGCCGAAGTTTTCTTATAAATATCTTACTTTCGTAGAAATATGAACTCTAGATTCTAAAGACGCAGTTTTATAATTGTTTATGGCAAATATAGCAATGTTTTACACTCTGATTATTTTATGGAGATTTTTTAAATACTTTTTTGTTATTATTGAATTTTAGATTGACATCATAGCCATAAATCTGAGAATCTTAATTTACTTATAATAAAAAAACATACTTACGTCTATAATTCCTGATGGGATAGTCAGAAGTATTTGTTGATTATTAACACTGCAGCGAACGATATTTGCCATTTCGAGGCGCATATCAGAATTAAACGTGGTAGCGGGCGAACCTGCTAAATTCACTTGGATTAATCTTATTATGTTCTTTTAAAATCGATTTAATGCGATCAGTCAAATTTTTATTCGTCATGTTGGTGAAAAAATATGAGTCACATACAAAAATATAAATTACCAAATTGGTATTTACTTTAACATATATTTAATTCGATGATAATACGAACATAAAATTGGCCACCTACTGTTTTGTTTATAGTTTTGCAAATTTAATTAGCATACTCATACTTCAATATAAAATATAATTAATACTTTGGAAGGTTATTCATTTTTATAGGCAGTTGTACAATGGCATTTAACTATATATAGGTTTGCTATAAATATACAAATATCTTATTTTAATGATAGATTTACAATAATATTTATTATTCATTAATTTGACGTTTTTATGGTATCGTATATCCTTGATTTCTTTTATTTGATTATGTTAAGTAAGGTTCAATAGATAGACTGTTGGGATATTTAGATATGTATATGCTTATTATTATATAATATAAGTATTTCTAAGTCGCTGCATTTTTTCAAGATGCATCCATAGGAATTCTTGGCAGAATATTGACAGTTACTGTTTATCATATATTAAGGATAGTATCTGCGTAACTAATTTAATGTCCTGTTTATACATATATATATAAAAAAAAAACACTAGTTGATTTAATAAACGTTTGCCTTTTGTCTTCTGCCGCCACCTAACGGGGATATGTCAATACTCAAAAGATATGTTTTACATAAAATATTTGTGTCTCTCAATTTGGAGTAAGTCACATTTACTGAATTTTATTACAATCGGTTGCACGTATATAGTGATTTTTGTATACGTAGGTATTAAGAATTTTAAGCAAATTCAAAAGGAAAAATTCGCTTGTATTTTTTCTACGTTACGAGATTATGATACTCATATATTCCATGTGATTGTTCCTATATTAATTTTCTTACGATTATTTGTATGTTTTTTTTTTGCATTTTGCATGAATTATTTATCTTTTCAAAGATAAGAAAATCAACTCAAAGTCATTGAGAATTTATTGGATATTGATATTATCGCGATATATGTAGGTATCTATGTATATGATACCATTATATTTACATGCGATGTAGGATGCGACGTGAAATTGAATTTCCATAGGATTACGTGGAAGTCATTTGCACATTACGCAACTTGCTCGACTGGTAAGCAACTGAAATCTTATAGGCATTCATATCAGATATCGTTTTGGTATGTTATATATAGTTAACGATTGTAGTTGATATCGTGTTACGGTTTTATTAGATTCTTATGTGGGCGGACTAAATTCTCATTCATTAGGCAAGCGTCTTTTCTCATAAAAAAAAAGAATAAAATTAAATGATTACAGATGCATGGGTGATATTTTTAATCGATTTCGTAAAGTTCTCAATATGTTTTTTTTTGTGTAAATTATACTATATATTTGCAAAGGCTGAATTGATTTTTAATATCTGTTATGATAAGATTGTTTATTTTTTTGCTTATTTTTTTAGTGTAGAGATTTGATGCTCACAAAAAATATATAATTTGGAATTTTTTTCTATAAAAAAACATCAATTCCAATCGTGATAATACCATTAATTTTGATTTAAAGACTAAACTACTGAATAGATATCGATAAATTTTACTATGAGACTAATTTGAAAGTATATTCTATTATATAAAAAAAATCCAAACGGTTTATACTCGTAAGCGATTAAGTTATGCTGTAACAAATATAATAAAATAAATACAACCAAAATGAGAATTTTTTTAAGGAAAAATATTTTTTTTTCCATAAATATTCCATATTTCAATTCTAATAGTAGAGATCTCTTTTGTGTCGTAATATGTGTGGATGTGCTTGTACACGAACACGTACTTACGCGTAGTAAATTTAAATAAGAGGAGCCTTCATTACAATATGAATATTATGCGAGCTGTAGACCGCTACGCGCATGCGTCTAATCGTTCAGCAAACAGCCGCCACGGTTACAATCTACGGTGTGGTCTATACGCCGCAACGCCACAAGTGAGCAAAGTGTAGCGGACCTACAGAAGATGGAATGGACTTTATATTGTAGTCGTCGGGCAGAGGAATTTTATGTATACATATATTTTTTATTTACTTTACAATCTACAGTGTGGCTGATACGCTACATAGCCACGAGTGAACAAGGGTAGTCGAGTTACAGATAATGGAATAGACTTTATATTATAGTCATTGTATAGAGATATTTTATGTAATAATTTTTATTTATTTTAAGTTCTCAGTATAGTTTATATGTCACAATACTACAAGGGGGCAATATATAGCACTAAAGAAAATTGAATAGACGTTATATCGTAGTTTACAGATAGTGGAATTTTATACACTTTTTTTTTATTTAAGTTACAATTTTGCTCATAAAGTAACGGCAAAGGAAATTAAATAGATGTTATATCGCACTTATCGGACAGGGTAATTATTTAATATCTTAGTAAAGTACAAAAAATAAAATACACGTCAAAACAATAAATTTAGAATTTTTATCTGTCTCCCTATCTGTGTGTTTGTTGCGGTATTACGTAAGAGCTATTACATCGAATTAGAAGCAGTCCTAATAATAATAACTGTATTATAGTTGTAGGTGTAACTTTAAATCTGGTTATGTTTTACCTTGATCCCGATAGTTTTCCTACTTCTGAAATCTACGCGTACTATGTAGAGGGTAAAGAGGTATTTTTAAATAATTTTTAACAATGTATATTTCTAATAATTGAACTTCGAACAGCCATACTCGACTGGATATTAGGATCATTTAAAAGTTCAAAAAGGATAATGTTCTCAATTTGAAATTTCTTTTGATTTATTCACCAATTTTGATAGATCGATAGAGTTAAATTCCGTGCCGATATGTACGATAATGAAATATGGATGATATTAATTTTAACATGATCGATATCGGTGTTTTTTTAAATCATTTTACGCAAAAAAAATGATATTTAGTTGCAGTTATCATGAAATATATATTATAATTAAAGTTAAAGTTTTAAATATACAAATAACTTTATTGTAAATTGAGACGAGTATGAACTGTGTTATTATATATATTATAGGTATGTACAAAAAGTTAAAGAATTTGATAAAAAATGTTAAAAATTCTTTTCATAAAATAGTTGTAATATTTCGTTAGTAGTAGCAATATTATATATTAGATGATCTAAGGTGTTTCGAAAATTATCGTGACTCACTAGTCTTGGTTCCAGTTGAAAGAGACAGTGAATCATTTGTCGATTGTCGTTGTTCAGTTATAATATCAATCAATCGTATACAAAGGTAAACTTTATTATCTAAGTCTGTCAACAATAACAGCTATGCAATATCAGTGACAAATTTTGTAACATCTATTACACGAAAATAGACATGATAATAATACATATTTAAATTTTATAGGTCAGCAAGTAGTAGTGGACTCATTAGAAAGAATATTTTAATAAAAAAAGAAAACATTGTATTTACACAATAACGAAAGTACACAAAAATGCATGTAGATGTCGTTCTGTGCATAATTTATTAAATACGCGTTTTACTCGTCCGTTCCAACTGTATCACTTCCAGTGAAACAATACATGTGCATTTAACTCAAAACCAAACGTACCTGGGATCCGCACACAGGACCTTCACCTTTATTTATGTACACTCAGACAGAAATCACCCTTTGCGTCGCCCGCTCGACGTATGGGAACCAAGAAAGCATTCAAAATGATTTATTGTAAATGGTTTTCTACTTTGTTGGCTAAAATAATAACCCCTGCGCCCGGATTGCTGTTCTAAATTCGATATTTTATTGTTGCTGCTTTCCTTTTGCAAAGCCGATTATCGTTGTTAAAAAAAAAAAAAAAAAATTGCAATCCTTTGTTAGGCTATTAGAGGTAGTGATCGACTGAGTCATCGATATGGTAATTCAGAATGCAAACGAAAAATATAAGAAATATTTAATTAGTGTAAGATGAAACTTTAGTCGTAAAAGTGGAAGCTTGATATTGCAGACTTGAATGAGACATCCACAATGCAAATAAAAATGTTAAAAGCACAGTAGGACTTGCGGGTGGCTTTGTCCACGCACACAATAGCAGTCTTTAAAATCATTGACGCTTTAACTCCTGAGGTGTCATGAGAATTAGTGGGCCATTATTGCTCTATAGAAAACGCTTTGGTCAAGCAGAAAGTAGATAACAATAATTAGCTCGGACGCAACAAAAAGTGACATAAATCCCGCATAATAAGTTCTCCGGACTGCAAAAAATCGACAGTTTACCTGAATTCCAGGATTTTTTTTTGCAGAATGACTCGGAATGAACGTGGCCCGATATAATAAACACCTCAATTCCTGGCATGGCCATTGTTTAATGATTTTTCTGTTGTGATATTGCACAATCGTCGTTCGGTTCGTTTTTTCATGTCCACCTTGCGAGAAAAATAAAAGTTTTTGTATGTTTGGTAGCATTTAAACAATAGGGACTTGGGGCTTGTGTGAAGGTGTGATTTATTTACGACTAAGAGCCCTTTATTGACCGGCTATGTTTAGATAGTTTCTAATGTATTTCTGACAAGTCGGATTAACTGGTTTTATACGTTTAAATAATTGACCTTTTTCTTTGTTTCAGAGACAATATGGAAAATATAGTTACGCGACATGTCATCAAATATCTCGTGCATTGATTTTTGGTAACACTGCAATTTATAAAATTGTTATAAAAACAAAGATGCTGGGGTATGCTCTAAGAAGAGTTACCTCAGTCATCTCTTTTGCTCCTAAAGACATCAGCTACAGCTCGGCTGACGACAGCCGGTGCTTAGATAAGTAGATTATTTAAAAAAAAGAAAACATTTTGGCCAACTGTTAAAAAAATTAAACGAACGCAAGCTATAAGAAATATATTTCAATAATTTGAAACCAAACTAGTCAAGATCAATAGCAATAGTAAGTTACCAATAGCAGAAGTAAAAAACAGAGATCTAGTGCCGCCGTACTGGATACGCCACTGCGGTGGTATGATATATATTGCATCTTGGATCGACTGTGCGCTGACTGGTCGCTACGTCACGTGGCTTCCCGGCGCGCGACTGCAGTGCTGGATGCTACTAACTGTATACACGTAAGTACTATTTTTACTAATTTTAATTATATTAATATTATTAAATTAGTGAAGTGTTTACTTACGAACTTGTCCTACTACCTTATTGATAAAAAGTGAAACATTCTACAAGCCTATTTTAACTATTAAAGCGTTTTGTCACTTTCTTCCAAATTGATAAATTAGTACAAAAGACAAAGACAAAATCTTCAGTAGCTAAAATAGGTTTCTAAGAGCTTTGACCTTTTTATGAATAAGGGAGAGTTAAATGATGAGTTTTAATTGTCAATTCCAGAAATACTATATCGTTGAAAATGTTAATTATTACTACAGATAAATGTCTTATTAATTATGTCGTGAAGTAACAATATGTATAATATTCTTTAGTAGTTTATAGCAAAAAAGCTAATGAATTAATCGATATTAGAATTAGCTGATCTATGTTTGATTGGTAAGACACGAAACAAACTTTTATTATCTATATGAAGTCACTTTTGCATCGATTAAAAAAGGTTCCTATGCTCGATTAGCAATCGGGCTAATTTAGGAAATAAACTTATTATTATTTATACAATCAATTTATGATTATTTATATTCATATATAAATAATAATAAACTAGTTGGTCATATTGGTCATTAAAGACTGTTAATGAATCGATAAAATTTGAGTTTATATGCTACAAAGTGGAGTGCCACTATAGGAAAATTCAATTATTTCAAATTATCTTCCATATTCATATTCAAATTTATTAGTCTATTCCATCTAATGTTATTGAAATTTATTATGCATTCCATTACGGTAAAAATGTGTTTTTAAATTGTATAATATATGGAAGCCTCATGAATATCAATTCATATTGGATGCTCACCCTGATTATTTACGGGAAGCTTGATTAGTATATTGTCATATGACTTATATGATCACTGAATTCATAATTTTTCGAAAGATTTTAATTTTTAAAATGTTTCCAAGAAAATAAGGGTTTTTCAATTTGTCTGTATTTTTGGGTATATATTATTCAATCGTCACTTCTGAATTGATTTTGATAACTATTTTCATAGTTGATTGAGTGTGCTCCCATGCAGGTCTCATAATAATTTTATGACACACGTAATTTACGTTTTTTAAGAAGCATAACTGTTTGTTGTGAAGCTAAATCTACATCTAAATACACGATTTGCTAAGTTTATATATTTATCACGTTCGAAGTCATTGGCATGAAATTTATTAAATAAAAGTTGATTTTCTTCATATAAAAATGTTTATCGTTGTATTTAAGTTTTTTATATTTATTTGTTTGGAAAATGAAGATAACAATGGCTGGATAAAAAACCATTCAGTTACAAGTGTCAAACATTCGTCGTGGGGGAGGTCCCTCTTTGGTTACAGTTACCGCTACCACTTAGTAGGACGGTCCTTATACAGTACTTTACTGAGCCCCAAGACCTTTTCTGCTTCATGCTCATCAATGTAAAGGCATAAAACTTGTCTATAGGCGCGTTCCGTTAAATTCCGTTCCTTCGGACACTGTAAGTCCGGGAGTGGCTAGTTACTATTCGATTTACGATGCAGTTTTCATTACCCGCTTCTATGTATTTTGCCTTTGTTCACAAAAAGTGTATAGTTAACATAGCTCTTCGGTTATGATTACCTCTCGTGTAAAATATTTTTACTGCCACACGTAGATGAATGATAATGTTTGTTTTAATAGTCACAAGAAGATAATAAACGATTATTACCCTGTAATTACTTGTACACAGGTTCCTACAATAAATAAGTTAGTAGATCATTTAGTGGAAAGTTGACTTAGCAGATTTTATTGCGGCCTTCCGCTACTTCTAATATGTTGGCGAGCCAGTTTATCCGTAAATATATTTTTGTTGTAAAATCAATGTAAAAGAATAAAACGTCGTACTTAGATAGCTCGTTCCAGTATGCAGTAGCGAAAACGTATCTATCGATAGTTTGCCACTTTTAGGGCTGATGATGTACGAGTATATACCCTACGAACTGGGGTACAATGATATTGCTTAATAAAATAAATGAGTTGTCCATCGATTTCAAAAAGGAGGAGGTGCTCAATTTGGTTGCTTTTTTTTAATATTAGTTACTTATAACTCTGTCATATATAAACCGATTGTGAAAAATCTTTTTTTTTTTTATCTAAAAGGATGCACCTACAGGTTGGTCCCATATTCATATTATAAAAAAATATTATGTTGTTTAGTTTTTTTTTACTGGGTGTTGCCACGATTGATATCGGTTTTTTTTGGGAATGAATTATTTTGTATTCACTTTTCTAAACATTGCAAAAAATAAATATTTAGCAATGAAAGTACATATTCAGTAAGATGTAGAATCTGTCGTATATCGATCAAATGCGGTAAATTCAATTCTCAATACTAAGATATAGACAGGTGGATACGTAGGCATAAATTTCTTCGACAGATTAGAGTAAGTGCTTCTAGATAGTAGCAGATAAGAAGTTAGTTGACTCATAAGTGGACTTAATTTGACGGAAATAATGTAATATTTCTTTTAATGTATTACGAAATGTCCACTGAAAATTGATAGTTTAGGAGAAATAACGTAATCTATGTATTTTTTAGGAACTTTAGCGGTTGCCAACCTCTCTGCCAAAAGTAGCAACTACTGGAACTCCCTCTTATGGGGGAGGCCTATGTTCAGCAGTGGATAGTATTGCCTGACTGATATCAAGTAGGAGAAAGTTTGTTTGTTATTCTTGATACTTTAATAGTTTCACTAATTGTCCGCGTCAAAATTTTGTTAATTCTGCATCTACAAATACAAAGTATTAGTTCTTATGTGTTGGAAGGAACTGGCTTACAAGGCACAGGTTACCCTAATTTGTAAGCTAGGGCAAAAAATATGTAACTGTGCAACCCTGTATTTGTTAATAAAGTTTATTATTATTATTATTAAAACGAGGTAGCGGGAAAAAAATTGTATTATATCAAAAAAATTATCAAAAATATTAATCATAAAAATTTTTATTCACGAAACAGAAATTTAGTGTATATATGTATATATAAAGTCCACAAGAAAGGGTTATTGTGAAATTCTCACGGGAAAGGCAAATAACGATTTTATAAGTGTGAAACAGCGAAAATCAGCTAGTTATTTAATAAAGTTAATATTACGAAGTATATATTAAATATTCGGTAATACAACTCAACGAATGTTTGCGTAAACACTTTGTTAAAAAAGTAACGATATCGTGTTAAATTGCTCGGAATGTCACATTACTTGATGTTAAACATATAATCTGTTATTACGTTAGATTAGTCTGTTATTTACATATGCAGTTACGATAGCAGTTTTCAAGCGATTTCAAAAATTCTAAATTCGAATTGTCTTTAGGCAATGTTTACTATTTACTATGAGGTGTGCCACCAGCTTGTTTGCCACACTACGTTACTTACAAAAAATGACTGTGCTTTGTTTCTGTCTAAATTATGCGAGTTATTTTTTTTTATACTTTCGTTTTAATCAATTTTGACAAGATAGGTTTTTGTAAAATAAAGTAGTAAAATATACAAATTAATTTCTAAGTTTGTTAACACATAACCATTTTCTTCTATCATACAATTATTGTACTCTCATAAGATGTACTAAATAAAGTTAATAGTTTATATTACTAGATATTATTTTGCAGAAGTATATATTACTGTTTTTTTTTGTTGGACGATAATGGAATGGTCACTACACCTGCGCTAACGGTATACGCTGGCGGGGCACCAGTGAGGGATGATGATGAAAAAGATGAGAATGAAAAAGACATGCCAGTTAGTCCATCGTGATAAATATACTCGGAATTCAGTATGGATGGTTTCCAGGAGAGATCACATGGAGGGTGACCTGATAGGGTGTATTTTTAGCAATGGGACAGGTACTCCTTATTACTAACAATTTCTTCCCCTACATCATTGGTTAGGTATACGATACTAATGATAGAAGAATTAAACAAAATAATTTTAATCAACTAAACGGTAAAATAATAAAGTACGAGTAAGAACGTATACTTTCAAAATACAGTATATTATATTATGATTTATACTAATGTTAATAAATATTGTTTTTTTTTTGTATGAAATTTCAAATGCCTTGAGTCCAGAGGAAGAACGTAGACTTTTTCAATATAACATGTTAATTCAAAACAAACGAAATCACGAACAAGCATAGTAAATTTAATAAAGGTGTCTTAATATTTATTTTGGATTTAAATACCTATAAAATAATTTAAAGAATATAATAATGAAATAATTTTTGGTCAATATTCGATGTTTACATAAAAGGGTAGGGCATCATAATTTTATACCTGACTTCGGACTCTAAATAGCTATTAATTTAGCATTTATTAATTTACTTTAAAAATGTAGGTGGTAAAAAAGGATGACCAGTAAAAATTTTATTTACCAAAGTGCAAGTAATGTCATATATCCTATATGTAATGATTTTTTCACGGATGAAGATGGAATTGTCTTCATATACATATAGTATGATACTAGCTTTTAACCGCGTCTTCGTTCCCGTAACCGGGATATGAATGAATGAATGAATGAATGAGTATACTTTATTTGCATTATACAATATAGGATATAAGCAAGGTAATTTACAAACAAAACGATACAATTGTATAAGTACAGTAAGGCGGTCTTATTGCTGAGAGTAATGTTTACTCGCCAGCATAAAAGTAGTCTATATACTTCTCTATCCCATATAGTACGTGGATACTAAATTTCATAGTGATTAGTTAAGCCGTCAAGGCGCTATAAGGTAACAGACAAACTCACTTTCACATTTATAATATTTGTAAGGATTTTTTTTAATGGGTGATAATGGAATGGTAACCCCACCCGCGCTATTGGTATACACCGGCGGGGCACCAATGAGGGATGATAGATGAGGATGAAGCAGGTCAGTTAGCCTATCGTGACGAATTCAACAAGAATTGTTCACGATGGTTTCCAGGGGGAACCACGTGGAGGTCGACCTGATA